CAACGAAAAACCCATGAAATTGCTACGAAGTACATTGGGACAGATTCGAAAGCACATGCGAGAGCAAATAGTTTGAATGAATGACTTATGCTCCACCAGCCAAAGCCAAGATCTTAGCGGCGGCGTGCTCAGCAACAACCATGATACTGGCGTGAGGGTTGGACTGTAGTGGGTAGAGAGATGAGAATCGTGCATAGTACTCATTATAGAATGCATGCTTACCATTGGTTGACCTGGGATGATCGAAGCGTCGACAACGAACTATGATGATAGTATAAGTCACTAGGTTTCGATGACGCAGGGATTAAAAACACTCACCAAGTTATTGGTATTCCAGACCTTCGTGTTGGCATCGACGACACTGGAAGATGAGCTGGTACCGATCTTGCATGATCCAACCCAGTGGTTGGAGTTCATGGAACCAGTTCCATAGTTATCAACTATTTCCGAACCATGTTAGAATCCCAAAGATTTTCCATGTAGTTTATATCAACCCACCATATGATTGGACGGTGATCTTGGTGAGATCGGGTGTGATGAGCTTGAGATTAGGAACTATTGGATAGATCGATATATCAGTACCACATTTTGGAAGAAACTTCATCATGGGTTACATACCAGCACTCATGGAGCCCAAGATGTCGTTAATACCGTTGAGCAAAACGGTCTTGTCCTTGGTGTCTTGGAACCATGGCTCAACAATAGGAACACCACGCATGGCGGCATCAATACCAATGCGACCACGAGAGGTGATACCTTGAGACCTGTTGAGATCATGCGGTTAGCGATGAGAAATCATGATCCAAGAATCTAGAGACATACAAGTAGACGGTGATGGTGAAGATGTTGGAAGCATTGTATGATTGCGATGTCTCGATGGATGCAGCACCTGGACGAGCAGTTCCTTGCATCTGCAATAGGTACTCAGTATTGATCCTTTACAGGAGGGCTATTGCAGTAGACTTACGTAGCGGGTCTTGTTATCAGGGCCATTGTACGCCTTCCAGAAGTTAATTCTTGGAGAGCTTGCAGCAAACATACCAGACTGGCTGGACTTGTACTGATTGGCGTCAGCTGTACGAGGGCTATCCCAGATTGGCTGCCAGTTGTCATAAGAGTCGACGCTAGGATGAGTGAAGACCAACTAAAAGAAACTTATGAGCGAGGATCATCCATAATGGCAAAGCTTACTTACGTTGATCGAGGGGTTGTCAGAGACGTAGGAACCGACTGGGAGGTTGATCCAGCTAGCCTGAGGTGGGAGATTTGGTCCATAGGTAGCATCGTTCTTGACGAGGTTGATCATATCAGAGGGTCCAATGCCGGACTGGAAGAGGATACGTGGAGAGCCTGAGCAATAAAGATGAGCACGTTGCTTTCTATTGCCTAAATGTATGCATACCGAAGGCACCAGCAGAGAGGACAACGCGACCCTTGGTGGTCAATGGGACGATACTAAATTTGGTTGCATCAGCATAGAAATTATGGATTAACCAATATACTTACCCGTTTCCACCATAGGCGGTGTTGTTAATTCGGACACCAGTGACGGCAGCACCATTGCGGACAACACCAATGACGTTGGTGTAGGTCATCACGTTGAAGTTAGCGCGGGTCTTGGAGGATCTCAAGTAGGTCAAGGGACCTGAGCGTTTGCCACCAACGAACTATAAAAGCCTTTAGTATTGAATATCGCCCCGAGACTGACTCAAAAACGACATACGTTGTAAGCAGGATGGCCATAGACGCTGTCCTTCCAATCGGCGTTGTCATTGATAGTGGCGGGGTTGTAGCCTTTTGAGTTCAAGAGGGTCTTGACGACATCATAAACTTGGTCAAGGTATCTCTTTCCATCTGGACTTGGTACATCGGTACTTGGGAGCTTGGCCTTGAGCTTGTCACGGGCGGCATTGGGTGTCTGCCATCCCGCAGGCCAGCCTTGCGCTTGACTGAACTCAGAGTCAGGTGGATAGTAATAGAGCCTGTATTGCGTGTTAGCTAAATTATGAAGAGTGGATCAGGAAGGTACTGTCTTACATTCCGTTGATCGAAGATCCACCACCGAGCAAGCAGCCAGCAAAGACCGTAATATCCTTGCACCACCAGTAAGGGTTGTTGCTACTGAACATAGCTTCGAACAGACCAGGGGTATCGAATCGAGTGAGCTGCAGAGGTCGGAATGTATGATTAGCAATGATGTAACCAAAGTGATTGTTAGTCACTTACTTCTGTTCCTTTAAGCCAGTTGGGTTGATCACGTCCTCCAGTTTCCCAGGTACTTGGTCCACCCTTCTCGATGAGCAAGACTTTCTTTCCAGCCTCGGAAAGTCTGTCGGCAACAACAAGACCAGCTGTGCCTCCTCCGACGACCTGTTTTGAAGTGATCAACTTCGATCCCAGTCAAGTGAGTTAGGAAGTACTCACGATATAGTCATATGGAGTTGGGGCGATGGTTTGAACGCTGGTAGTTGATGTAACGGTGGATGTTGCTGTTGCTGTGCCAGATGAACCTGAACCGCTCAAGTAGTCACTGTAGCTGGAAGAATGAGCATTTGCGACGTTGTGTCCCCAAAGGTCTAGCGGGCTGAGTCAGCTCTGAGTAGAATAGACAAATTATAGATAACCTACTGAATGCATCATGCTCTTCGAAGGTGCTTGCAGCATTCGAAGGTTGATCAACGGCGGTTGTTGACAAACTGATTACATAAGAAGCCGAATTAGCAGGTGATATACGCCGAGAATCGTTTCCATGGAACTTACGCCCAGCCAAAGACGGAGATACTATCCTGAACAATTGCGCCATCAATACCCTGGAAGGACCATGTGGTGCAACCTTGGCAACGGAAGGTCCATTTCCAGTGAGTTGAGGACTGGGAGAAACCGAGAGTGGTAACAATAGGACCAGTTACTACGGTCGGTTGGACGTAGTTTCTGCGTTCGACTTGATCAGCAATACTTCTCAGTCCAAGTGTAATAGAACTTACTCAGCAACACGAGCGGAATACACGATGTTGTTGCCATTTGGCCATGCGACCAAGAGCAAGTTTCGGTTCATACCAGGTCCCAATGTAATCTGATATCCATTGTTAGGGAAGATCTATAGCAAATCCAAATAGTGAAATACGCAATACTTACACCAAACCATTTGCTAGTGATTGGAATTTTCCATTGTCCGATGAACTCGGTGGAGGACGTGCTGGTAGGGAATACAAAACCAATCTCTGATCCATAGACTAGACAGATCAGGTTAGTTTACCGATGCACTCAAGTTAGTATGATATCACGTACTGGGATCTACATAGTTCTCAAAGCAGATATGGTTGTCAGGATCGCAATATTGAGAGCTTTGAGCGAGAGCGGCGCCAATGAAAGGCACTGCCGCTAGAAGGGACTTCCACGAGACCATATCTTGCGGAGGTAAAGAAAGGAGAGGAGAGGGCCTTTGAGGCTAACCTTGAGCAGTACCCAAGCCCATTGGTGCCTGCTTAAGTACCATTGAACCATCACCAGAGCTCGATATAGCTCATAAAAGCTAGTCATTCTTCCGCCTTGGAAAAACAGCCAGGAGAATTGAGAAGAGCTCGACAATATGATTATTGATGCGGTCACCAAGAAGATAGCCGTGCCGAACGATATTGGAGACTCGGCGTTCGTGCATGGCACCTCAGGTACCCCTTGTGGACTGGGCAGATTAGGAAATGAGCCAATCAGGAAGTGCGAATTGGGAGTGATTCGTAGAACTCGAATTGCGAGAAGATGCCGAAGTTAGGTTGTTGGAACCCAAGACCTGAGGTTGGGGAAAGAGGTGGACATTACGGAGAAAGAAGATTGGCATTCGCAATCGTTGCTAAAGGAAGTTGTCGTGGTCACGAGCTCGAGAGCTTTCGGAAACCTGTTTTGGTTTAGAGACTAAAAAGTGAGGTAGTGCTGCCGATGTCTTCCCCGCCCACCGACATTGTCCCGTTTTGGTCTGCAAAAATGATGAAATAACTCTTCTTTGACCAATCGCGAAAAAGTACCAACCGGTTATAGCTCAATACTTGTGTGAGACAGTAAAGCCACTCGTGAGGTTTGACATATTCTGGGTTCCTTGAGATGAGTGCTCGATCACCTCAAGCAGAACCGACTGTCGGGACAGCGCATTCCCAAAGGGGTAAAGTCATCCGAGTGGCAGAAATTAGCACTTTTGTCTCCTTTTGGAGTCAATGAACATACCTATAAGCCAAGCCATCTTATTCGGATGATGGTTGGGCGAAGTGACATCGAAGAACGCTGAACGAACGTTCGAAACATTGGTTTATACTTGTTGAGATTCTCACCTTTTTTGAACAGGGATCTACTCAACAAATTCCTTCCGCGCCCTATGCGACCCTCGGAGTCCCAGGAATAACCTGTTTTCTTTCCCCCCCCTGGTAATCATACGTACGTCATCAGGCTTAATTCACAAAATCTCCACGTCTTCCCTCGGTAAAATCGACGTTGATAAATTGGAGACACCAGGGCTGAGAAATGTGTCTATGGCAAATGGGTCTCATTTCCAAAATACGACTCGGCGCATACGGGGCCTGGTAAACTGACATGACAGCTGTATCAATTATAAGAAGAATGTAGTGCAGTGCCGCCTTCAATAATGAAGGGACGATCATGCAAAGGTTGCCGCTTGGGTTCTATCTGACATAAGCTCCGTAGGTACAAGGTGGATTGCCACGTCGCGGCGAGCCTGTGACATAAACCATAACCGTCCACAATGTGCAAATTCCGATGATTTATTTGATTCTATGCATCACGAGGAGATGGAACA